TTTATTTAACTTCTTTTGGACTGATGCACTGCAACATCCACTGAGTGCCATTAAACAGCTTAAAAGATCAAAGACAATTTTTAAAATAACTCCGACTGGATTCGTCTGAAAGAAGAAATTCATATACACCTAGGATGACTTGAGGGTGAGTAATTTATGGGCTAATTTTCATTTTTGGGTGAACTAACCCTTTAAGTAAATAAGAAGTTAATATTGTGTTATATTTTAAACACAATATTGTCTTTTTTTGCTCAGTTTTGCTAACAAAAGTATTACCTAAAGCCTTAGCATAATTGTTGTGTGTCTCCGAGCAACATAGCGATGTTTAGTTTCTGAATGAATCAGCGTTTTGAATGAATCAGGCAAATCAATGATTCAAAAGCCCATTCATTGAGAGAGCCGTTTACTCAATTCCTGAATGAATCAGCCGTTTGAACAAATTGAATGAATGACTCAAAGAAATTACCGCCAAATTCTGCCAGCTTTAGTTCCTATTTAGAGTATTATTGTATCATTTCATTTAAAATAAATAAATTAATTAATTAATTTAAAAAAAGGAAAAAAATAAAACTTTAAAGGGATAATTCACCCCCCAAAAATTTAATTATGTCATTATTTACTCAAACCTGAATGAATGACTTTCTTTTGTGGAACATAAAAGAAGGTATTTTGAAGACTGCTGGAAACAAAGCTGTTTTGGTTACCAGTGACTTTCATTGCATAAAGGGAAAAAAAAACCGAAAAAAAAAACAAAAAACAGATGTTTCTCAAATTATCTTCTATGTTCCATTTATGTAAGGCCGTTGTAGCCTAAATGTTTACAGTCATGGCCAAAAGTTTTGGCAGTGACAGAAATTTTGTTTTGCAAAGTTTGCTGCTTAAGCTGTTGTGGTGTTCATTCTCATTGTTTCTAGATTATTGTGTAGAGTGATCAGATACATTTAAAATAATTGCTAAAAGCTTTATTGGCCAAAAAAAGGAACTTTTCACAAAAATAAACATTTCACAGTTTTTTGGTCCTGACACAAAATGACCAGCTAACATTAATTGACTAATCATATCAGCAGCACATGTGAAAGTGTGAATGAGTACTAGTCAGGTTAATCACTATCATACTAATTAGATTGTAAGAGCAGACTGATTGCTATAAAGGGAGGGAAGAAGCACTTCCAATCATTGTGTTCTTGTTAGCAATGGTTACACGTGCAGCCATCATCGCTTCGCATCAAAATGGCCTCACATGCAAGGAAATTGCTACAAAGAATATTGCACCTGAAAGAACCATTTACCGGATCATCAAGAACTTCAAGGAGAGAGGTTCGACTG